CTGTGGGCCTGGTGTCTATACTCAGTGAAGACATCATCATCATCGTCGTCATTCTCATCTTCTTCGTGGCCTCGGTGCCTGTGGCTGCGGCCATGATGGTGGTGTCCATCTGAGATATTCTCATCCTCTTCACTCCTGTGGTCTTGGTACCTGTGGGCGTGGTGTCCATACTCAGTGGAGACATCATCATCGTCATCATTGTCATCTTCTTCGTGGCCTTGGTGCCTGTGGCTATGGTGGTGGTGTCCATCTGAGACATCCTCATCCTCTTCAGTCCCATGGCTTCGGTGCCTGTGGGCCTGGTGCCTATACTCAGTAGAGACCTCCTCTTCCTCCTCCTCCTCCTCTTCCTCCCCCTCTGCTCCTTTATCATCTTCACCATCGTGGCCTCGGTGTCCATGCCTGAGGATATGATGGTGAGGCTCATGGGACACAACTTCGTCTTCATCCTTGTCTTGGTGGCTGTGGCGCCTGTGGCTGGGGGTGTGATGCCTGCGCTCTGCTGAGTCTTCCGTGTCTTTACTCTCATGGCCTCTGTGCCCACGGGCCTGCCCACCATGCTCTGTGAAGACCTCCTCACCTGAGACATCCTTGTTTCTGACCTCGTGGTCTTGGGGCCTGTGGCCTGTGGCGTGGCCATATTCCTTGGAGACATCCTCATCCTCCTCTTCACCGTCTGGATGACCCCAGAAGTGATGCCCCTTCTCTGTGGAGATATCCTCGTTCTTGTCTGGATGGTCTCTAGGGCTGCGGAGGGGGTGGCCAAGCTCTGCCGATGACTCCTGGGAGGGCCCAGCGGCTCCAGCATTGTTGTTCTGGTTGCTGAAGCCCAGCCCGGCCCCTCTCAGCTGCTGGGTCATGGCCGGGGGGAGAAGCAGGCTGGCCACTGCAGCCCAGAGGACAGAAGTGTGCAGCCATGGCCTACGGTGGCCCATGGGGACGGACAGGCAGCAGAGCTTCTCCTATAGCAGCGGCTCCAGCTGCCTCTGCGGCTCCGTGGATGAATATTGGGGTCTGTCCCTTTGGGATCTGTCTCTTTTTTTCTCTGTGTCTCTGCTTAGTCCTCTCAGTCTCTGTCCACCTTCCTCTGGTCCTTGCTGCCTAGCTCTGGACACCCCTCTGAGGCTGACTCCGGAGCCCCCTGACCCCCCTCCGGGGCCCTCCCTCCCCACTCCCCAGCCAATAGGGCCTTTCCCCTCCCCTCTCTCCAGCTAAATTTACTCTCAGCCCTGAGTTATTCTGGGTCAGTCCCCCGCCTGCCCGCCTCCTACTCCTCCTCCTCCCAGCTGGGGAGGGGACCTGTGGAGGGGTCTCTCCCTGGCCAGGAGATGGAGATCAAGGGGCTTGACTTTGGCCTGCCAACAAGCTCATGCTCGGCAGCTGCAAAGACAAAGGCTAGACTTTTAGCAGGTCAAGTTCAGGGACCCTGGGGCACCTGGGGAAGGCAGAGGGGAGAGACCCCAGCGATGGAAGGACTGGGGGTTGGATTGCGGGGAGTTTCCAGCTGGAATGACATGTGTTGGTGAGAGAGTGATGTCAATTTTGAGGCCCTGGAATTGGGGAAAGGAACATGGCCCTCAACACAGGCACCCATGACCTCCTGTCCCTGGAACTCAGATCTGGGGGCAGGGACTGGGCCAGGCCAGGGCTATAAATATAGCTGGGAGGGCTGGGGGGACTCAGGTTACGGAGGCCACAGCTGTCCCCATCACAGAGGGCTGGCAGGAGACACGTGGCTTTGCTCGTCCCTGTGTCAGTATCTCCCCTCCTCACCTGTTGTGACTGCCCCGCTCAGGGTCTCCTTTCCTGTTCACGGCTCCTCCTCTCTCTTCCATTCTGTCACCTGCTCTCTCATGGTCCCTGTCCCCCTCCATGGGATTGCCTCTCCCTCTCACTCTGGGCTCTGTCCCCCTCTCATCTGAGTGTCTGTCCTTCACCCAAGTCTGTGTCCCTCTCTCTCCTCTCAATCTCTGGCCTCTCCTTTCTGAGTTCCTGCCCTTCGCCCCACTCTGGTTTTTCACTACCCTCTGCCCCTTGTCTCAGTCAAGGTGGCTCCTCTGCCATCGCTGGCATCCACCTCTCTGGGTCCAAGTCCCCCTCTCCCTTCATCTCTGTCCCCACTTCTGAGTCTCTGTCCCCCGCTCTGAGTCTCCATCCCCCTCTCCCCCTGGGTCTCTGTCCCCTCCTCTCTGGATCTCTGTCCCTCTCTCTCCCTGGGTCTCTGTCCCCCTTTCTCTCTGGGTCTCTGTCCCCCCTCTCTGCATCTCTGTCCCCCTCTCTCTCTCTGGGTCTGTGTCCTCCTTTCTCCCTGGATCTCTGTCCACCTCTCTCTCTGGGTCTCTGACCCCCTCTCTCTGGGTCTCTGTCCCCCTCTCTCTCTCTGGGTCTCTGTCCCCCTCTCTCTCTGGGTCTCTGTCCCCCTGTCTCTCTGGGTCTCTGTTCCTCTCTCTCTGGGTCTCTATCCCCCTCTCTCTCTGGGTCTCTGTCCCCCCCTCTCTCTGGGTCTCTGTCCCCCCCTCTCTCTCTGGTCTCTGTCCCTCTCTCTCTCTGGGTCTCTGTCCCCCTCTCTCTCCCTGGGTCTCTGTC